CTAAGCATGATATTCCATTTAATTTCCCATGAGATAACTAGAGATGGTAAATAGTACCCTGTGATTGTAGTTTTATGAACTGGGAAGAAGTTATAGCAGTTTTACCAAAACTCGAAAGTATGTTACCTTCTCAAGTTTGTCTCCTTCAATAGGACGTAATTTCAAGATTCTACTGAATTGAATAGTAATTAATCAACCAGAAACCAATAAATTATTATCCTACGGAATGACATAAAAATTAAGGTAATACTGGTTTTGTCGTTGTTTGGAAACTTCCAGCACTGTCATGCGGTTTGTAAGTCGTTCACAAATTGATCATCCTATTTGAGATATACCGATCCATCCAAGTACGCTAGCCAGATTTAACTGATCTGAACAATAATCTCTGTGATAGGAATTTGTTCAGGTACACCACTTAAGAATTGGATGTCAAACAAGCGACACGGCTGCTGTGTTTAGATCATTATCTTTGGACTAAAGAAATCTAGAGACCAACCTGCGTGGTTTCTAGCTATTCCTGTTGTTCATCAGTATATTTCGTTATACTAAAACAACTATATTCAATTTTCGTTTTCCTCAAATGAAAGTTCACAGTTATTGAAAACATGCAAGAACAAAGTTGAGTTGTCTGGGTTTAATATACGAACCAGTCAAGCAAAGCATTGATCAGTATTATACCCAGAATGCAAAATGCTTGAGACTTGAACCAATAAAAATCTCTGTACTAGACAATGAGTGACTCTGTGAGACGGTTTATGCTACTATTCGATGGTTGATGCTGAAGGAGGTGGAGCAGAGTTTGAAACCAAGACCCGTAGCTGGGAAGACGACTACTTAAGCCTATGAGCCATCCTTTGACAAACGATGATATGTCCGGTTAGCTCAGAAGACTGATATACAGCATTAAAAGTGTGGAGTTGAACTAAAGCTGTGATGGACGCTCCGTAGCATAGGCCATATGTCGTGGTGTCACAAAGTCAGTAAAGTTGAAATTAGGCGCAGAGTTTTAGAGAGAAGAGAAGAGTCAGTCGACAAAGTTGTGACTTAACTCAGGTTACCGGGACACATGTTGAGCATGACTAGTCACCGTCTGCCTCGTCACACGATGTTGGAAAATGGTCAGCTGTGACAGGAATAAAGCACAGCATCAGTCCATGAAGTCTTCGATCGTTGGTCTGAGCCATTTAGAGAAACTTCGCAGCAAAGGTTCGTGTGACAAGTGAAACCCGCGGTTGGAGATTTTAGGTTATATGGCTCAAAATCGATGTCAGTGACACAGATGAATCTACACATTATCTTCATCATCATCATCATAACGAATTTCATTATTCGTTCATCCTTTCCTGCACTAGTTTGATGACTTTCGGCCACTTTTGCCTTATTTATTTTTAACTTTATCGTAGTGGGTTCTCGCTTCATATAGTGGTGGCTTGAGCATTTCCAGTGATGCTAGATTTCAAGTAGATATTGTCTACCTGTGTGTGCTGATTAAATATTTTTGCAGTCTCTTCCAAAATGCTAACCCGTGAGTTAGATATGTCTGAAAACTTGACAGGGTGGAACACAGGTCTCGTTTCTCAAGTCGCTTTATACCACAGAATAAAAATCCCTTGATAATCAACAAACGCTGTTGTCGTGGACAGCAAATTTTCTTAATTTAGAGCGTTTAACATGATATCTGTCCAACCCTACCGAGTAACCATATTACAAACGCTGAGTCTTATTGGTATGATATGAACAAAAACTGTGACAAATTACATAGTGTTCTGTTCATGGGGCTTTTCATTCATAGATTTTTTTATTGATCCACCAAGACGTCAATGAGTCAAAGAAAAAAAATTTTACTTTCCTCCCTGGCATATCAAAAGTTCTTCCAAATTTTGTCCGGTCGATTCTATAGTAAACAAGCATAAAACGCTAAGCCTAACGCTTTCATTATGGCGGATTGTTACTTCTCAATAAAGTACCAGGTATTTTTACCAGTCGCTTAACAAAAAATTCCCTATATAACGGCGAAGACTAACAACCCCAATGAAAAGGTTATCAACAGTAATATATTGCTTCGCCACTTCTCAGTCAACAGGTGGAAGGAAATGAGAACAATGTCAAACACTGGTACATATCTCTAAAATTTAGTGAAATGAAAATCCAGTCCTTCCATTTTCAATTTTAGCCTATGATAAATGAAGTAAGAAAGCCGCAACCGTTAGATTATGGGTTTAAACAAAGCTGATCATGTGTTGCGTGAATAGAGCTCCCAGTTTTGAGGTGTAAGATTAAAGATATGTTGAGGTTATAAGGGTAGAAGAGCAAGAAAATATGAATGGCCAAATTTCCAACCGCATTATAGCTCATAGTCGTTCACCACGTAGTAATAATTTGTCATCAGTATTTGCTTAAGATACAGTATTCGATAACATTTGCGGAAATCATTCATCCATGAAGCTCCATCTATAAAAATGAACATTTCACACACGCAGTAAGCTGTATATCATTCTATTATCAAGATGGACACAATATCAATTAAAGTGGTTCCCAATTGAAAATTATTTCGCAAGCTACATCACCATTTTAAATTGGTGTTGCGAGAGCTACTTATGAGAAGGCATACAACTATTCTACGTACAGAAATCTAAAGCGAAAATGATCGAATAGTGACAATTCAGAAAAAACGGTCATACAGTATGGGATAGAAATATAAATCAAGAAGAGTGCAGAATGAGATGCAGAAAGGACTGCTGCAAACACCGTAAACCAGAATACATTGACATGCTTCCACGCGAGAAACAGAAAATCAACGTAAAAACTCACACAAATGCATCCAAAACAAGCTGTCACATTTTATAGTAGTACAAAAACGACAGGTGGATATAAAAAGGAGTGATATGAAAGTAGATAAAAGAGTGTGAGGGAATAAACAGTTTGAAGATAACTGTTAGTGCGAATGTTCAAGCTTTAGAAGATGTCAAAGTGTGAGTACATCTGTGTCATTGTGACCGGGTTTACAGCCGTGTTACCAAGAGTCCTCAAACACTGATTTCTTTCGTCTTGGGGACCTCAACCAGCCAGTCTACATAGTCCCACACGACTCAGACCAACAGTAAGAGACTTCACCGACTGCTGCTATGTCTTCATCTGGCCACCCTGGGACCTCTTCCAACTTCCCTAGGATGGCACGCTGAGGTAGGTGGTGGCTCTACATGTGCAGTACATGTTCAAACCATCTCAGTCGGTGAAGGTTCACGACCTCATCAATTAACTTACTTGTCTTGCCTAGTACCTCCACCTAACCTTAACATTGCTGACACGGTGATTCCACCAAACGCAAGAAACGTTACGAAGACATCTATGATCAAAACCCTGTAACCGCTTCATGTCTTCTACTGTCTCACAGCCGCATAATTGGACGGCACTGACCGCAGCGCAGTATCCTTGTCCTTTAGTAGATGGTCGGATATCTCGCCAGTCGGCGCCACAGATAACGCAAGTTGGCAAATGCCAAACGGCCCTTCTGTATCCCGGCTGAGATTTCGTCAGCAGCCAGCATGTTCGAGCTGATGCAACTCCCCAAGGAAGCGAAGCGGTCGACACATTCCACCGCTTCACTCAGTATCATTAAACTGGGAGACCAGTCCTGGAGCATCATCTTACATTTGACAGGTGTAAAACCGCATGCCAAGCATACTTAGACTTTTGCTCGACGTGTCCAGAAGACTCTTCATTTTGTCACCCAGCATGACAATATCGTCTGAAAACTCTAAGTCAATCAAATGACCTCCAGAGAGTAAGTCAATTCCTGTGAAGTTAGACCTACCTAAGGCTATGTCTATTAGTACGTCTATAACGAAGTTAAATAGGAACGGTGACAGTGGACATCCCAGGTAGACACCACCAGTTGTCGTTAATTCACATGACAACTCTCCGTAAGCCTTTACATGGCTACGTGAGTTCGAGTCGAGAGCTCTGATAGGTACCATATTCTTGCTCAGTACTCCCTTCACAGTCAGACACTGCCATAGAATCAAATGCCGCCTCCAGGTAGAGAAGTATAGCAGGTATCGGCCGCCGTTAGGTATACCGGTGTTCCAGAACCTGTCATAGGGTAAAAATGTGATCGATGCACCCTCGTTCAGGTCTGAAACTCGCCCGGTTTTCTCGAGTTTGCTTTTCTTCAGCTCCAATTAAACGTCAGATAACCATGAACCCTAGGATCTTCTCCAGAATATTAGTCAAACTAATTCCCCTGGGTTGTCACAAGAAGATTTCTGCCCCTTCTTATAGACTGGGATGACCAGTGAAGTAGACCAGTCTGACCGGACTACCTCTGATTCCTATACATTACCTACTACCTCCGTCACTTTAATCACCAATTTCCTACTTCCGTGTCAGGAGACAAATTACCAGGTCCTGCTGCTTTGTATCGTCTCAGGTTAATAACAGCTTTCTCAACTTCGATGAAACTGAAGTACCGACTTCTACGTCTCATTCAGGTTCAGACTGAATGTTGAGCAACTGAGGCGTTTCTGTGGGTCGGTTAATCTGTGTTGCATATTGTTCCACTCGATGTTCTAGCTGTCTGTCCTGAAAGGTTGTCAACATCCTATCCTTTTTTGGTGGCTCCACTCACCATCGTTTTCTTGCCAATGTCTTTAATAAGCCTAAGTGATTGCCGGGTGTTACCTAATGCTGATAACTTCTCCATCTAGTTTTCGCCACCCACCACTGCCTGGCTAAATTACAGATACATAAATCACATATGAAATTTTACTATCCCATTGGCTACATGAATAGGGAAGAGTAGTAATATTTGAGAATTTGATGAGAAGATGGGTAATTCACATATCCACTTGTCAAATATAACAGTCAACAGGTATAACAGTCAGTGATAATATTACATATTTTTAAAGCAGAAGCAAATAATACGATCGAATATCATCTTTTCACGCAAAATATAGCTCTTAGTCACCGTAGTATTGTCATCAACCATTAAAAAGTCGAAACACTATTTAAGGATTTATTGTATTTAATTGAACAACGTAATTTTGAGAAGTATATGCGAATATACAAGAGTTTGAACCCTATTTTTATTACGGAATAACAAAAATATAAGTTTAAAACAACTGAAAGAATTTGCACAGAATAAAAATTACTGAAAGCAGTCAATCCATTTTTTCATCAGGTTGACTAGATCAAGTAGAGATTTCCTAGACAACCATCATACAAATGGATTTCACAGTTTGATAACAAATAAGTTTATTCACAGTCTTTGGAATCTGTTTGTAGTTAGTGACTCCAAAGACTGCTTAACCTCATCCTCCACCAGCCATTGGTGGGGCACCTGGAGCACCTGAAAGACAAATTAAACAGTTGATACATTATGCCATACCGTACACAGTCTTCATTTTTATAACATGAAGTATTATCATAATCCAATGATAGTTACGAGCTTGGTTAGAGATATAAAACATCCTTAAAAATCCAGAAGTAATCGGTTTCTGATTCGACAGCTTCCTTCTGAGCAAATATTTCGCCGTCCAAAGATGTTAGTCATACGTATTTGCATTGAACTGAAGCTGCATGTGGAACACATCACCTATTATGAGATGCTACATTATAAACGACCCAGCTGGTTGTTACTGTACCACATGGTTCCTCATATTACAGTAAGCTTCTCAAAGGTCGTCTTTAGGTCATCTCACCAAACTAGGGTGGGATGAGTACCTTAGAGCCGTAGATATTATTGTTTATCATTTAGAACTAATTTAGCATAGTATAGTCACCAACAGCTGTAGCACAAAGCAATAAATTATCAAATAAAATTGAACGATAACAGTGAACAATATCATAATGATCACAAAAGCAGTTCCATAATCTATATTCCAAAGTTAACGTAACTTATTCACCATTTCTCAGCGCGATGACCAGCTTTCAACCGTACTTGGTAGTTTATCGAGCAGCTGCTTTGTACAAATTCATGAACCCATTGGGGATGCAAGCCAAATACACAAACATCTTTCATCGCCTCATACCATGGACTGATCACTTCTCTAACTTTTCTAACCACTTCAGGCAGCCACAGACAACTGATGATGCGACACTACGTTGAGGCATTCGCCCGCGAAGTCCCTGATCGTCAGTTCGAGCCACGTAAACGGATGACTCTGGTTGATATAACCAGACTCTTTCTGTATTCTTATCGCTTAGCACCTTGGTGTACAGTGAGGTAACTCGGTCTGTTAAGTACATATATCACCAGTGCTGACCAAAAACAGAGAAGGCGGATATGACAAAACGCGTGGGATATGCGCAGGTCTTTAAGCATCGAGAAGCACTCAGTGAAATGAACGAGAATGAACTATTAGCAGACTTCTGCGTCTTTAATGATTTGGTGATTGGAGGCAGTGTGTACAAACACAAGGATATTCACGCAGCGACATGGATTTGATTTCACCAGGCACCAGAACACACTACACTAAAAATCAGATCGACTTCATCTCAATGTGAAGAAAGGGGAGATGGAGACGCAGCCTACTGGACACAAGATCAGATCAAGAAGATGAGCAGATGTAGGTTCACACCACTCACTATCTAGTGCAAGGAACCCACCTCAAAAATCAAGTTGAAAGCCTTCAAAGAAGTTGGTGATAGACCACAGTTCAGGTTGAACACCCAGAACAGAAACTGAACTGAAGGACGAAACTAAAAGGAAATCTTCACGTCAGCCATCAGAAAAACATGGGAGATACTAAGCAACATTCATGAAGAAACCTGTGTGGAAAAACACTGCAACTCTGTGAAAGCTATGTGGAAAGAAATCTGCATAACCGTGCTATGAAGGAAGAGGAAACAAGACAAGGAATGGATCTTGACGGACACATGGTAGCTGACAGAGGAGAGGAGGACGGTGATAGTAAAGCAGAAGATGAACCAGTGCAGTGCAGTAGAGTGCAGGAATGAACAACGAAAAGAGGAACTGAATACAACCTATAAAACACTGGACAAAGAAGTTAGGAACAGTGCGCAGAAAGAAAAAAGATGCTTCTACGACACACTTGTAATTGAAGCAGAACAGGCTGCTGGTTGGAGAAACTTGACAACATTATATCAAATAACCAGGTTACTGTCCGGGAAGAGATCAACGCAAATGTAACCAATGAAAGATAGTGAAGGAAAGTTAGTTAACACCAAAGAGGAAAGGAAAGAAAACAATGGACTGACCACTTCAAAAGGTTTTTGAGAAGACCACCACCTGCAACTCATCCAGAAATACCACCAGCATCCCAGCCACAGAACTATCAGCGAACACAGGCCCTCCGACAAAAGCAAAAGTGAAGTCCTGAATGTTATGAAGTCGCTGAAATTCGGGAAAGCAGCAGGACTACATGGAATTCTGTCAGAAGCCCTGAAAACAGACGCAGAGACAACAGCAGACATGCTCACACTATTATTGCATAAGGTTTGGAAGGAAGGAAGGAAGGAAAGGTACCTCCAGATTGGAAGAAGGGCTACCTTGTCAAACTCGCAAAGAAGGATAGGCGACCTAAGTCTTTGCAAGAACTGGCGCGGAATCGTGCTCCACGTCTGTCCACTCCAAACAAAATATTAAGCCGCATAATCCTGGAAAGACTAAAAAAATGTTCTGGATTCGAGATTACGACTGCGACAGCCTGGCTTCAGGAAGAACAGATCGTGTGTGGATCAAATTGCAACGCTACGCTATGCATGATCATAGAACAGAGCAAAGAATGGCAATCAACTCTCTACCTTAACTTTATCGACTATGAAAAAGCCATCGACCGAGAAGCAATTTAGAAACTGCTTCAATACTACGGTTTTAGTGCCACAAACCTTTATCAACCTCATTCAATAGCTTTATGCCATATGATGCTACATGCCAAGTGATTCACAATGGAAAGCTCAGTTATGCCTTTGAAGTGAAGACAGATAGGAGTAAAACAAGGCTGTCTACTATCACCCATGATATTTCTGATTTTGGTCGACTATGCTGGATCATGCAACAAACTGTGAGGAGTAAGAAAAGGGAGATACGCTATTTGACCGATGAAAAGAGCCTGGATTTAGATTTCGCCGATGACTTGTGTCTAATGTCGCACAAACTCGAAGATCTACAGGCAAAAACTAACTAGTTGACAGAAGAGGCGAGGCAGCGAAAACGGGACTTCAGGTGAACGTAGAGAAGACAGAGGTGATAAAGATACCCAACCAACAACAACGACAAGCACCAATCACCATCAACGGGAGAAATTTAAAGGAAGTTTCCTCTTTTACCTACTTGAGCAGCGTCGTTTCAACTACAGACGATGGCGGCACAGATGAGGACATCAAAAGCCAGGATCGGAAAAGTAAGACAGGCCTTCATCAGCGTGAAATCAGTGTGGAGATCTACTGCACTCCACTCCCACTCGGCATAAAGAAAAAGATCCAGATTTTCAACACCAATGTCAGTCAAGTCAGTACTGCTATATGGTTCAGAAACTTGGCGTGTTACAAAAGCATTTCCAGCAAACTACATACATACATCAACAGCTGTCTACGCCCACTCGACACTGAAGATCAGATGGCCAGAAAGAATAAGCAACAAGGGTCTCTGGGAACGAACCAACCAAGAACCCATCGCCCAACAAATATGCAGAAGGGAGTGGAGATGGATTGGGCATACACTGAGGAGACCATTTGGGGACATCACGCACCAGGTTACGCCCTCGAGCGGAACCCAAATGGGAAACGACGAATTGGGCGTGACGTGGAGATCGTGTGAGGAAGAAATGAAAGCTTCTAGGCAGTCGTGGAGCCAGATTCAAAGGACTACAGAGAGCAGAGTGAAATGACGACGTGCTACTGAAGCTCTATGTTCCAGCAGGAACTCAAAGGATAAATAATCAATAATAATAGGTGATTAAACAGTGGCCTCGGAGACAAATCACTACTACTACGATGATTCTGAGCTATGCCTATCTTCGCAAGTTACTCAGCTTCATGATCTCTTAGACCCGGTACACGGAGTCTTGATCATATGGCGTAAAATCATTCACTGGCCACCTCTTCAGCTCTTTCAATCGGCTGCATAGCATGTAACCAGCGAATTCCGACTGATAGCTACTGAACAGACGTGGTGATCGGGTTTGCATATCAAAATGACCCAACGAGCTATGCCGGTGGAACGCTAATTTTTTCAAGCTCTTACCATGTCAGAAAGGACTATCGGATAGTGATAAGACGAAAAGCAGTTGCTATTGTAGTGAAAATTACTACAAAATGATGAAAGTACGAGGCGGAAGTCCTACTCCTGCTAGTTGGATGGGGTGTGACAATACTTTCACTTATATGACCAGCAGTGCCATGATGATGCTGCCTTCTCAGTGGGAGGGGGGGGAATAGAAAAGATCAGCCCCATAAACAACATACTCTACAATCCCCATGGTCTCCCGGTGTCGGGGGTTTGGGTTCTCTTTATCCGATGTTATAACAGTCAAACCTAAAAATAACAATCCACAAAAGGCTGCATGTGATAGGTCTTAATCAAATGTCTTATGGACTCTGCGGTCACACAAATATTCTCCTCTTTCATGTACCTTAAAAAGAAATAGCTTTCCAAGGTGTGGCAGCCGGAACGTGTCAACCTCCCGCACGCTTGCAGTAATGCATAAGCTCCAGTCACCCATAATCTGTACTCCTAAACTTTTCCTTCTCCTTTGCACTTACCTCCTGATACTAACATTAAGTCTCTTACGCCTTACTCAACCCTCTCACTCTGAAACCCTCGCCAGCGACCGAAGCCATCGAAACCTCATTCCTGGTCTTCTAAGACCTCGCCATAGATCCGATGTTCGAGCTTTCAACGTGCGAACTTAATACCAAACCGCACAGCAAGCATCGCTCGCTAAGTTCTGGAATCTTTAGCCAGAGGTGTATGGTGTCTCTTAAACACGTATACAGGACCCGAGTGTGGTTATTAAATTGATCTCATCCGGCTATAGTAATGAATCTTACCAAATCCCATGCCAACAAACGGTGATCGTCTGTTGCAGTTTTGCTCCGACAATTACTTATTTTAGGCCAGCACCAAACTTTAGGCATAAGGAGAGACACTGCCTCACATGACATCTGCCAACTTCAAACCAACGATGGACACAGATAGATCACATTGCTATAAGCCATCGTTGGAGAAGATCGGTGGAAGACTGCCGCTCTTTCCGGAGTACTAGAGTGGACTCCAATCACGCGCTAGTACGGGGTGGTGTATGATGATGATGAGGCGTAGGAAACAGGAAACAGGAAGCAGTGACGCCTATCTGTGCTCAACTGGAAAATGAGGACGTCAAATACCAGAATTGGGAAGTTAGCTAAGCATTTATCTGAACGTGACAGCAATGCTTACCCTGAGGAAACACGGCGTGGTATCATATAACGTCTGCTGTATAAACAGCGGTTAAGACAATTAGTAACTCACACCTGAAGGTTATCAAACGTCATTGAATTTCCACGTCACCTGAACTGATTGGTGTGAGAAGACTGATTCCAGTTGGCTCTGACCACGATGAGGAGCGAAAGCAACTCAAACATAAGTTGGTCAAGAATCTTCATGTTGATCGTGAGCGGTTGGGATGGCGAGAATACAAGAGAGATGGAAAAGGCATTAACACTACTAGGTAACACTCAGTAACTACTTAGGTTTATAAAAGACACTCAGACAAGAAAACGATAGTGAGTGAAATCATCAACGAAAAGGATGGGATGCTGAGGAAAGAATGCCAGGAAGGTGAGTAGAACACTAAGAAGCACAGTTTAACCGACCCACAGAAACGCCTCAGTTGCTCAACATTCAGTCTGAACCTAAAAAGGAAGAAGTGGTTCATACAACAACTCCTCTTGAAGTAGAGAAGACTGCATCAATCTTGAAACAATGCAAGGCAGCAGTATCTGGTAATTTGTCTCCTGACACGGAAGTAGGAAATTGGTGATTAAAGTGACGGAGGTAGTAGGTAATGTATAGGAATCAGAGGTAGTCCGGTCAGACTGGTCTACTTCACTGGTCATCCCAGTCTATAAGAAGGGGCAGAAATCTTCTTGTGACAACCCAGGGGAATTAGTTTGACTAATATTCTGGAGAAGATCCTAGGGTTCATGGTTATCTGACGTTTAATTGGAGCTGAAGAAAAGCAAACTCGAGAAAACCGGGCGAGTTTCAGACCTGAACGAGGGTGCATCGATCACATTTTTACCCTATGACAGGTTCTGGAACACCGGTATACCTAACGGCGGCCGATACCTGCTATACTTCTCTACCTGGAGGCGGCATTTGATTCTATGGCAGTGTCTGACTGTGAAGGGAGTACTGAGCAAGAATATGGTACCTATCAGAGCTCTCGACTCGAACTCACGTAGCCATGTAAAGGCTTACGGAGAGTTGTCATGTGAATTAACGACAACTGGTGGTGTCTACCTGGGATGTCCACTGTCACCGTTCCTATTTAACTTCGTTATAGACGTACTAATAGACATAGCCTTAGGTAGGTCTAACTTCACAGGAATTGACTTACTCTCTGGAGGTCATTTGATTGACTTAGAGTTTTCAGACGATATTGTCATGCTGGGTGACAAAATGAAGAGTCTTCTGGACACGTCGAGCAAAAGTCTAAGTATGCTTGGCATGCGGTTTTACACCTGTCAAATGTAAGATGATGCTCCAGGACTGGTCTCCCAGTTTAATGATACTGAGTGAAGCGGTGGAATGTGTCGACCGCTTCGCTTCCTTGGGGAGTTGCATCAGCTCGAACATGCTGGCTGCTGACGAAATCTCAGCCGGGATACAGAAGGGCCGTTTGGCATTTGCCAACTTGCGTTATCTGTGGCGCCGACTGGCGAGATATCCGACCATCTACTAAAGGACAAGGATACTGCGCTGCGGTCAGTGCCGTCCAATTATGCGGCTGTGAGACAGTAGAAGACATGAAGCGGTTACAGGGTTTTGATCATAGATGTCTTCGTAACGTTTCTTGCGTTTGGTGGAATCACCGTGTCAGCAATGTTAGGTTAGGTGGAGGTACTAGGCAAGACAAGTAAGTTAATTGATGAGGTCGTGAACCTTCACCGACTGAGATGGTTTGAACATGTACTGCACATGTAGAGCCACCACCTACCTCAGCGTGCCATCCTAGGGGAAGTTGGAAGAGGTCCCAGGGTGGCCAGATGAAGACATAGCAGCAGTCGGTGAAGTCTCTTACTGTTGGTCTGAGTCGTGTGGGACTATGTAGACTGGCTGGTTGAGGTCCCCAAGACGAAAGAAATCAGTGTTTGAGGACTCTTGGTAACACGGCTGTAAACCCGGTCACAATGACACAGATGTACTCACACTTTGACATCTTCTAAAGCTTGAACATTCGCACTAACAGTTATCTTCAAACTGTTTATTCCCTCACACTCTTTTATCTACTTTCATATCACTGCTTTTTATATCCACCTGTCGTTTTTGTACTACTATGAAGTTTGGCAACTTGAGCTGAGGAACCTTATGCGAGGTAGTACTTTTATTTTGCCAGTTAGAACTGTGAATGTGTGTTTCATAATAGTAATGACTCAATCTAGATCTACAGAAGGAACCTAAGATCCTGGATGTTAGTAATAAAGATTTTAAAAAATGCTAAAGTGTGTTTGGAAGCTAGTTAATCAAGTTGTGGTGTAATATAAAGTCATGCAATGCGGTGTAACTCTCTGTTGGATTTGTTGGGGAAGAAAGTAACAGTAGTTATAGCTCATTATGAATGAAGAATAGACTCTCACCTCCACAACCTCCTAATCCTCCAAAACGTCTTCCAGGTGGTCGAGGTGGTCTGTGAATATTTTTTTAGGTAGGACAAACAAATTACCTTCCATCCCACGGATTTCTTTGACTAGGAGCTTTTGAACGAAAAAGCTACAAAAAATTAGTTACTGTAGCTTAATAACTTACGTCTAACGGCAACATTGTCTGAATGCTGTGCATGCATGTTAACTATCGAAAAAAGCATTGACTTACAATAAACATATTAAATTGAAGAGGTTGAGTAGTAGTTGCTTGAAATACTTTAAACCCCATGGTTGACGCTCAACAATGTTACCTAAGTAATGATAATAATAAGAATGATAATGGCATTATGAATGATTTTAAAAAGATTTTCAAGTGGTTAAATGTTGAAACTGAACAACCTTTATACAGTAGTGATTAAGCAAATAGCCTATTGTATCAACCTGTACGTGGTTTCTGAGTCATTATTTCACGTTTTACATGTTCACTTTTTAGATCAAAGAATGTGGGAGGTATGGTACTTGAAGTGTTTATTTGAATACCTTACTGTTATTTCTTGTAAAAGCAAGATGTTATCTTCTGATTGGTGGTCTATTTTTATTCCAAAGGAGTGTGACAGGGTAAGATGGAGTCATATGCACTCATTATAGAATTTATTGATTGGTAGCATGAAACCAGTTGCTGCGTTCGGAACTCGAATCAGACAATCAACATCAAGGGGATGTTACTGAGTAAGAGCATTTCTGCAAAGCACCTGGAAATGGTTTCACACTGGATAACTACGGCCCGACAGATAGCTGCTACCTTGACGTGGTGGTCGGGCTTATACATCACAATGACCCAACGAGCTATGCTGGTGGGACACTTGTTTCCTCGATGTCCTACCATACCAGAAAGGTCTGTTGGATAGTTCTTAGACGAAAAGCAGTTACCGTTATAGTGTAAATTGCTACACTATGATGGGGGTCTGAGGGCGAAGTCGTACTGCTGCTAGCTGTATGGGGTGTGACAGCAGTAAAGTGTTTCCCTTACATGACCAGGAGTGCCAAGCTGATGCTGTCTTCTCAGAGGAAGGGGGGGGTTAAAAGAGGTCGGCCGCAAAAATAACACTCCATCATACCCTACGGTCTACCGGAGAGGCGGTGTTGGTTCATTTGTAGTTTCTTTTCCACCACCCAGCCCCAAAAAATAATCATACACAAAAGGCTGTGTAACAGACTTCAAGTAGATGTTCGATGGGCTCTGCAGTCATATAAGTCTCTTTCAGGCACCTTAAGAAGAAATAGCCTTCCACGGTATGGGCAGCCGAAAAGTGTCAACCGCCTTCAAAACTCTGTCACCACTCAAGTTTCTTCTGACTGCTATCCACCTCCCTCATCATTAGCTTCTAATCTTCCTTCACGTCTCTCAACTAACGATACTACATCATCTTTAATTCCTCCTAGCTCTGTAGCCTTCGACAAAAATCTGAGTCCACAGAACGGCATCCATGGTCTTCTTATAAACCATGCTTCAAATTACATATTGGAGCCTTCAATGTCCACACCCTCTGTCAAATTGGTCAACAGACTTCGTTAGCAAAGACTCTAGCAACTCGGGCCACGCATGTGTGCTGTGTTTGGGAGACACGCATACAGGACCCAAGTGTGGTTATTCACCTGACCTCTCCTGACCAATCTGGTGAATCTGCAAAATTCACCCTTCGAGTTTCTGGAGATTCGATAGCTAGCTCTCGTGGTCTTGCAGGTGTAGGCATAGCATTAAACACTAGGGCAGAAAACTCATTATTAGACTGGATCCCAGTTGATAGTCTCCTCTGCGCTGTCCGACTGAATGGCACAATGAGAACTAAAAAAAATAGTGAGACTCGCAGTTGTCTCTTTGTAATCTCTGCTTACTCACCCACTGACTGTAGTTCAGATGAAGTGAAGGACGAGTTTTACCGTAAACTGTCTAGCCTCCCCTCGAAAGCAAATGTTCGGACGTGGTGTTTGTTGGTGACTTCAATGCACAGGCAGAAAGGCACTTAGGTAGGACTTTCGGATCTTGGCTGAATGTCCAGATTAAGGGTGATCGCCTACTACAACTGTGCTCAGATAACCGCTTGTTTTTAGATCGCACGAATTTCAGACATAAACAAAGCCACTATCTGACTTGGCGTCCACCGAGCTCAACTCAGCGATGGACACAGATAGACTACATTGCTATTAGTAATCGCTCGAGATGAGAATCGGCGGAGTATGTGTTTGGATAGTGACCAGGCGTTGGTCCGAGCACGTACATGCCTACATCTCAATGGGCGTAAGAAGAAATTAGCAACAAAACCACTACGAGTGCAGCTCAACAACGAAAACACCAAAGCCGTGTTCAGTGAGAAGTTGGCTAGACAGTTATCGGAACAAAAGACTGTCACTCATCCAGAAGAAGCTTGGTGCCATCTCGAGTCTGCTGTAAAAGCAGCACTGAATACTGTAGGCGACTCCGAAAGAGTGGCTGGCTAAAAAGAGTCAGTGGATATCAACAGCTTCTTCTGAACTAATGGATGCACGTCAACGCCTCCCTGCAGGCTCTGAGTACAATGAAGAGCGAGCGCAACTTAAAAGTAGATTGAGAAAGTCTACGCAACGACCGCAAACAGTGGTGGGCAGCGAAGGCTATAGAGATGGAAAAGGCAGCGGCGATAGATAACAGTAGACAGTTATTTAGACTTATTAAGGAGACTAGGGGAAAAAGGTCAACAACGGTTATTGAGACTAGAGCGGAGAAGGACGGACCTGCGATTCACTCGCAGGAGAGAGGACTGGAACGATGAGCAGAACACTTCGAGGAACAGTTTAACTGGCCTCCAGCCACCATTGCGTTGCCCGCTATCCAGTCGGATCCTGAACGGAAGATTGAGATAGGCTTTCCAACACTAGCAGAAGTCAAGAAAGCGGTAGGTAACCTGAGACGAGAAAGAGCTGCATGACCAAATGGACTAACTCCTGAGGTATACAAGGATAGTGGTGAGGTGCTCTCGGTCAGGTTAACGGGAGTGTTAACCAGTATATGAGAATCAAATACGACCCCCTCTGACTGGTCTAAACAACTGATTATTTCAGTCTTCGAGAAAAACGAGAAGTCCTCCAGTGATAACCACAGTGGAATCAGCCTGACGAACATAGTCTCCAAGATCCTAGGTTCTATAACTCTTCGAAACCCGAGTGCAGCTCAGGAACAGCAAGCCTAAGAAAACCAAGCAGGCTGTAGACCCGGCCACGGGTGTATCGACTAAATATTCACACTGAGCCAGGTACTGGAACATAGTTACGCGTACCGACGCCCGATAATAGCTGTTCTTTTCGACCTGAAGGCGGCATTCGACTCCGTTGATTGTGAAGTCTTATGGAAATATCTCTCATTGAAAGGCTTGCCGAGTAAGTACATCACCTTATTGAAGACTCTCTACCCGCACACTTGTAGGCGTGTTAGAGCCTATGCTGAGATGTTCAAGGAAATGTGCTCATAGAGTGTTGTCCGTCAAGGATGCCCACTGTCTCCATTATTATTCAATTTTATCATAGATATTCTTATGGAGGTCTTCCTCTCGTCACCTGATTACACAGACTCGACCTAATCGGGAGAATTTACCTTAGACCTAGAATATGCAGATGACATGATATAGTCTGTTAGGTGAAGACGCTGACAAGATGCAGAGTCTTCTGAACACTTTCAGTGGCAATTTGAGAATGTTTGGGGTGTGGTTCTCACCACACAAATGCAAATTGTTGCTCCAGGATCGATCTTCAACTGTGTACCACCGCCCCTAACAATAGTGTTGTGGTTGTTTGTGCCAACCACTTCACTCACCTAGAAAGTAGGATCAGCCCTGGTGGCTCAGTAGCCGATCAAATCTCTGCACGGATACAAAAGACTAGGGTCGCTTTCGCCAAATTACGCCACATATGGCATCGTCGTGATATCCGATTGTCAATTAAGGGTCGCATGTACTGCACAGCGGTCCCCTCTGTTCTACTGTGTGGCTGTGAAAAATGGCCATTGAAGGTGGAAGATATGAGAAGGCTTCAGGTGTTTGACCACTGTTGCCTTCGTAGTATAGGACGTATTCCGTCGCGTCACCACGTGAGTAATGCAGAAGTCAGCTATAGAGTCTTAGGGAGAAGAGGTAAGTCAGTTGACGAGGTTATGAACCTTCATCGACTGAGATGCTTGGGACACGTGTTACGCATGCCTAGTCACCGATTGCCTCGTCACACAATGTTGGCCGAAGTAGGTCCAGGCTAGAAAAAGGCCCGAGATCGCCAGACTAAAACATAGCCACAATGTATGAAGTCTTTGACTGTTGCTTTGAGCCATGTGGAGCGATGCAGACTAGTTGGTTGGGGTCCGCGGAACAAGAGCAACCAGTGGTTGGAGACTGACTCTAGGTGATGGCATAGCTCAGAACCGATGTCAGTGGGGTAGATGTATATACACATTATCCTCATCTTAACGACGCCATGCCGAATCTCACCATTTTTTCATTCTTCCTTTCTCTTTTCGTACTTGACACTTCTTCTGGCTCAATTTTCTTATCTTTATCTTGCACCTGACTGCCTTTTCACTTCATGTATTGATATGAGCTGTGGCAACTTGGAACGTTACGCAGTAATGCCTGATCTCATGTTAGTATTGATGATTGATGATAATGGGTGACCACAGGGCTACATGTCTGTTTGCAGCCGATCATTTACGAGGGTTCGGGAGTTTGAGATTCACGTCTGGTTGTTTTAAGTCCAGCTACGAAATCCATCCTACTAACACTAAAAGACCACAGGGTAGAGGAAACTGTGATTAGCATGGTACTACTGTTCGTTCATGTTCAGTCAGTCAGTATCAAAACAGAAACTGGCATTATTGAGGTCCCATACCCCAAATATTTATTGGCCCAAAGTTAACTGGCGAATACTGGACTATTTCAGTGGCACACAGTCTCCTACCATCAACAATTGAATGGATAAGTTTCTTTCAGTTACCATAAGACATTTTCCACATGTCTTATTCCCTACAACCCAACTTCACAATGATCACTGGCGACCATGCCAAATAGCTAAGCAAGTGTAGATTTCTGGAACACAGGCCACTGCTGGCAGCCAAAACGCCATATTTCTTGACTTGAAGACTGCATTTCACTGTCAACCGAGAGTTGTGGCAATGTCTGACTGTGAAGGGGGTACCGAGCAAGTATCTTAGGTTAATCAACGCCACCTACTCGAAATAGTGCGAAAGTGTAAGGTCTTATTAAGGGTTATCATCTTCAGTGATGACAACTAGGCCTTCTCTAGGAATACCTTCTGTCACTGTTCTTGTTTAACTTTGTTGTAGTTGCGCTGGTGGAAATAAACCAAGATGATTAAAACATGGCACCAGTCCATGAAGGTTTCGACTATGTCTGTGCTCTGTAAGGAAATGCAGACCTTTCGGTTAGGGTCAGCGTGGAAACAAACAGATGGTTGGAAACTTTAGTTGGTGTGGCTGACAATCAACTACTGGTTCAGGTGTATCGGTAAACCGCTTTCATTTCACGAACAATGAATCTCAGCGTTATTGCACTCGACTTTGGTCTCTTTTGACGACCTACCCCCTTTGATTCCTACCCTACATATTTGTCTCTCATCTCAGTGCATCTCTTTTGACGTGGAGATAGGCCGTTACGCAGTACCCTTGTTCTATGTTGCTGTTATTTACCTACCAACCCGAAATACCTCCAATTTCAGAGGGGTTTACTTGCTTGAACGACTTGACACTGTTCTGTAACGTGAAGGAACTAAAAAAATGTATGGTCTTCTGGATGCATGGAGAAATCGGAGCATGTTTAGTGTACGTTCTCTATCACAAATAAAATACCTAAGAAATGGTCTAAGCGGTAGTGAAGTGATAAAATGAGTTGGCCAACTCATTTACTTGAAACACTGCACCACCACAAATGGGATGGTCGCTGGCAAGATCTCAACTATGGTACAAAAGACCTGTCTAGCTTAAGTGAACTTATGTCATCTCTGGCTCCGGTGAAATACAGTTATCTACTAAAGGATGAGTATACTGTGATGAAGTCCAATTTGTCCTGTCATATGACTGTTTTGATATCTGAAGAAAGATGACATGGTGAGGCTGCGTGATTATAATCACGTGTCTTCAAATCATTATGTGATTGAAGTCGAGGTTAACTCGTATCTCTTTCCAATTTTTATATGAAGTTCCCGGAATACTGTCATTTTTCGTGTTATCCCAAACACTACTGACCCACTTGCACCAGACAGTGTGAAAGCAGGAGATAGGGTGAAGCATAAACTTGGATTTCGCATTGATAATAAAACAAAGAATTCGAAACCAACAGAAAGGAAGCAGAATGATCTTAGTCGGGAAAATGAAGCAAGCGTCAAATGTTAAATATATCAGCGAATACAAAATGGGATGCTTTTTACAACGGTGCTATGCGGCGACGGAAGGTCGTTCGATAAAGTTGTGAAACTTTACCGACTGGGATATCATTTTGTGTTGAACATTATACTTCAACCCGTCTTTTGGTTATGAAATACCTTTCGGATCCCTTGTAATGTGGTGGGGTACAGACTGCATGATACTCTTTTACGCTTACTTTCGTTAGCATTGTTACAATTTCTACTTTTTCCACGGATTTTGCTTGTAAATCACTTTTCTGTTTCACTTTTGCTTCCGACGTACAGATACCTTGGCTATCTATGTCCTACACTTCTTCACTTGTACAGAACTTCTGGTCTAGAAAATCAAATGCAGTCTTTTGACAGCTTTATTTCTGTAAGATTATATCATGTTGCCAGACAAGGGATAAAATTGTACACTTAGTAAAAACACCAACATCTAGACAATAGATATTACGAAAACTGTCTAACACTATTGTGGTCAGGATAGTACACTGAACAGGAGAGCGAAAATAGACAGCGCGAACTAACTTTGTTAGTAGAACTCTAAATATCCCACATATAATAAAATATCATAGGAGGCCTGAAGGAAATCATATATACTCACTGGAAAATTTAGTCAGTCGAAGCTGACCAAAAAGTGGAAAATGAAGCCAACTAAATGGAGAGAAGGCAAAAAGCGGGTAGCGTAATGCTGAAATAAAGTAAACGTTACGGGAAAAGCAACATATTTCCAATTATTACTCCTTTATTCCAAAAAAGTCACTTTTCCTCTATCAAAGCAACCTTCCTCAGTCAGCGCAGTTACTCTATTTTTCCGACTAAAGTTTCTCTCCACCACTATTTGTCACTCATGCCCAAGGAGTTTCACTCAGGAACCCACTTTCTTCTTCATCTTCTACTATTTTCCTTGATTTTCTTTTTCTTGTAAGTTTAAGCTTACATTATAAACAATCTTCAGAACCTATTCCCTTAAGCATGCATATAACAATGTCGGACTAAGATCCGTTTCCACTGATTATAAGTACGATTGTACAAACTAAGTGGATGAAACTATCAAATACAAAATTTTACAGGTTACAAATGCGATATTTGGATGGCTAGTAAGCATTACACCTTCGTTTGAAGAGTATCATAGAAATGGATTTGAAATACTTACTGCCCAGTTAAGTGTTCATTTACACCAGTTAGGACTAACGTTAAACTTAGAATTTTGCGGTGAACTAACCTGAGCTGGTAACAAACGTCATAGATCCTGATAACCGCACTTTAGTGACAAATAAACTTAGCAAACAATTCATACATTAAAACAAAAACGTCTTCATAAAAGCAAGCTGTGTTGGATGATACTAAGGGATCATAGATAAAAGAGGAGTATCTCAATTTTTTCCACGCCCTTAAGTTTATTTTTAAACGGCTGGCAGTTGGTTCAGACGAATACTTAAGTTGTGATTTTAGATTGTGCAGTAAGAATGGAAATGACTTTTTCTTTTGTTCGTTGACAAGTGTTGGGGCCACTCAGCATTTTTTTCTGTGCAATTTTGCACTTACATTTGACAAAATAAGCATAAAAATAAGCTCGGTAACTACTGGTTTTGTAAGTTTAGTCATTGAATTCGTCTGTGATGATTTCAGGTCAGCGGCTTGAACAAATTTTGCAGAGGGAACATTATGAAGCTTGATTAGCTTCAGGAAGTCAAGCGTTAGAGCAATTTCCACTCTCCCGTGCTCAGTCTTCCTGTCCGGTCCATAAACGTTCAGAGAGATTAGCATTAACATATGGTTGGGCAGGTTAACAAATACACTAGTTACTAGGCGGTCCTAAGCCCGGATAAGGAGGGAAGGTTTGGCATGAGGCTAGCAACCCTGCCCCGGAAAACCAATCAATGCTGCAGAAATTTCGAAACACAAATAAAATAATAGAAATAAACTTATTCCTCGATGAAATTAGGGAGACGAAATGACGCCGGTTGGTGAAAGCTTTCAGGAAGCCAATTGGCCTGCGTGTCGTCACTTGGTGAAAGTGAAAGTAAATATGGGGACATGGAATGTCCGCATCATGGCTGGGCTGGTAGTCCTAGGTAAAAAAATGTCGTGTCATAATCGATTCGCCTTTGGCTTTTCATAGTCCGATGGATATATTATAGTGGTAATATATTTCGAATACCCCACTTCGTTTTCAGGAAACTAACTTATCTTATTTCTGGCCTGCAATAGATGGTGTGATGAATCTAAGAACTTTTACTTTTGTAGCCGTCATTTGCACGCTAATGTGCAACAAAGCTGCATAAGCATTAGATTTAATACCACCAGTAACACACTTGACCGTATTTATATAATTTTGGTGCCACAATGCCATTCCAGATCCCAAACCACTTAGACTGGCCTCTGTAAATAGGTTGTCAAAGACTTGCTATCAGTTCCCACCAGTTGTGCGAATACTTTTGGAAGATCAAACCAACGAGTTGCATCTGTGACAATTACTCGGGAGACAAGCTGCCTCATATACTTTCTGCAAATTCACACTCGTTGTAGAGCACTTTTAATATCGTCTGCAGGCCACATCCAACTTTTTACTCGATTCGCTGGAGAGGAAGACGTAAAGTTACAACATAGTTATTATCGGCAAACGAATAGATGACACTGAACTACCATTCATATCACACACTCGAGAAAGGCTGTAAATGGTTTGAAAGTCATGCCATCATGAAACACCGAGAGACAGGATGGTTCCAGAATAGCCATCATAATACGGACCCCTGAAACTGATGTCTGCGGAAAAGTTGAAGCAAGGGATGATGAAAAACACTTCTGGGACGAAACTATAGACATATGGGAGTGGACTGTCTGTCTATAAGGGCTGGCTGGCCAGCCAACTCTGTACGGTGGCCGTTCAAGGCTATTTACATTGTTGTCCTACATAGTACGAGACAATTCTTAGACGCTCCATGTTCAAAATTTTGACATTTAAAAATCCCGATAAATAGATAAAGTATGGGGATTGCCATAATCTCAGTATATGCAACAAATACTAGGGAGAACGCAGTGAACCCAATCTGAAGCGCTTTTTGGAGGGAAGTGTAGTATTACAGTGAGTTGGTTTTTGTTGTGGAAACAAAACGATAGCCTTGGTTTTCAGTAACAGTATTCTCTCAAGCTTCAAGTTCAGTAAGTTTAAACTACTTTTATGTGTATTTCTGCTCTTACTAGGATAGCGGGGCTTTACATCTGTTTCAGTGTTGGTTTAATCTGATAACGCTAAGGTTTCTACCCCTTTCAAGTTTTCCAGAGTTTTCCTGTTGATTTTTTTACCCTTTTTATGCTTAAACGGCAATGGTAGCCGAAGGGATGTGCAAAAGACAGGGCTGTCGTCAACCTGTTCAGGTGGGTATACAGCGTGATACATCCGACGGGTGGTTCCACGTCACAGACTCAACGCAAACTGAGTACACCAAACTCAGCAAGCCTGGTTGCAAGTGGCACTGCCGGTTGTATAGATTTACACTCGACGATGTTCTTGAGAACATCATTGGCATGTTAACCGAGACAAAAAGTAGGCTGGCAGTAGACCATGAAAGGGGGAAACTGGAAGGCTCAAAAGCAGTGCTGAAGCACGGGGGTTATGGATTTCGAAAATCGACTAGCGGAAAAAGTGCTCAAGTCACCCGACATGAGCAAGGGGGTAATCTGGAAATTAAGAGGCTAAACCTGGGTCTGCAGGCAAGTGGAATGGACAGCGAGTCGCCCACAAGCAGGTCAGACAAATAAATATGTTGCCCACGAACAAAGGCAAAGCTGAAGAAAAGTTGAAAGCCCAAAAAACGCCCAAGCATCATTAGATGACAAGACCATTGTCCGGAATAATCCTTTGATCATCGTGAACCTGACAAATAGCCCTGATCTCCTGTACAGCATTCATGATAAGAATGACAGCGTTCTGTGGGAGAACCCATGCGGAAAACAGAAGCTAGACCACATGAACCAGTGGCTGCAACTGGGCTGTTACATGGTCCCGATCCGGTAACTGGGAGCAAGCTCCGCTTCTTAAGGCTCACATTTTACAACACAGATGACGTCGGAGATGTACTCTCAACATCTCAAGTGCTAAATGCTGAAGGGGAAGCAAGGATATTACCAGATATTACCGCACTCTGAGGGCCGGGCTCTAAAGAATATCCTGGGCGACAATCGTGACGCCAACGTTGGAGGAAGAAACTTTATAGTACAAAGCATACCAGAAACCCAGGCTCCGAGGATATTCGCTACGATTCTCGTGAGTGCAAGCTCCTCAAAATATTATGAACCACTAGGGTCAATCACCCAAAGCGTCTCATGGATGCCCAGAAAGGACGATGACCCCAGACCAAGGCTGATCAAAGTGGCCATCAGATTTCAGTATCCACACTGAAGGGCTTTCCGGACGAACAGAACTTGTCTGCCATCCGGGGTAAGGAAGTGGCCTGATAGGTAGTAGAACGAAAGTCTGCCAAGATCACAGAGAACATCTGGAACCAATTGTGCCTCTGGAGGACTGCTTAGGTGAAGAAACGGGGAAGGGACGAGAAACGCAACATTTAGGCACATTCTCGACCCCCACGCTTGATGATTCAGCCGGCCAACTGGAAAATGGAAAGAGTATAGACACTGCATTCCAACTAGACAGCGTAGACTGAGTCCACACGAATGCACAAAGATTACCAAAGAAACAAGACGAGCTGTGGGAACTAAGTAAGGGCACTTATGTTCACCTTGCTGGTGTCGCTGAGACATGGGTCTCTCCTGACATGTCAACTCAGGAGCTGGGATTTGCTGATACCATGCTGTTTCGCCAGGACTGGAAGGCTGGTGGGGGAGGGTGAGGTAGCACTTTACGTCAGCTTCTCTCTATTGGCTCACCAAATCCATAGTCAAGGACCGGGGTGCCTCGAAGAGTCCGTCCAGTGCACCATAAAGCTGTCCAAGACTATAAAGTGATTGGTGGGAGTCATTTATGGGAAGCCATCTGCTGACTTACAGTATGACGACCAGAAGCCAGAGGCAATCAGCTGCTCTCCTAAACTGGGGCACTCATATACACTAATTTTAAGCAACTTTAACCTACCGAATGTTAACTTCGCAGATAATACGCTTAGCGGGGGTGACGATTCCGTTATAGCCAGATTCCTTCATCTAGTTGGGGGGCCAGGGCTTTGAAAACGTGAGAACGGTATCGCAGGAGAGGGAGATTCAAACCGCATCCCGCCTAGACTGCGTCTTCGCAAATGAAGGATTTCTGATTGGCAACTTGGCAGGAGTGGCCACTATGTTATCGACTTCCAGTCTGTCTGCGAAACCAATCTAACTAGAACTTTCAATGAATGACGTTGGAACTTCAGATGACTTAGCACCCCAGCCCTTCTAATCGCACTGGAACAGACAGATTGGGAAGTTTGCCATGTATGGCAGGATATGAGTACCCATTGGAGATTCATACTTGATAAGATCGTGCATGCAATCAGTCAGTCTGTCCCACTTTCGCGACCGAAGCGCTTCAAGTTTCCTAAGGTAATAGGGAACTACACTCGCAAACTACTTAGGTTAAAGGGATACCGCTTGGCTGAACACGAAAGGACTGGCGCCGAATATACCTGCAGACAGTTCAAACAGACAAGAAATAAATGACCAAAGGCATTGAGAGCCGATCGGCAGCAGCATCGAGTCAGGCTTACAAACATGCTCGTTTCCAACCTGAGAAGTGTCCTATTACGCTGCTTCATTCTGGCAGGCTAAAGAGAGAGTCTCTCAACTACCGGGTGCATGCAGACTGATTAGCATCGGCACTAAACCAGCTGAGCTCCTGGTAAACCATTATCTGCAAATCTTTTCGTCATCGTCCGCCCACTCAGGAGCTTACGAATATCACACTAATGAAGTAAAACTCTCAATCGTCAACCTAGGCGTTGAGCTAGTACAGAGCGAACTGCTACTGCTCACCAAAGACACCCCTGCAGGATCAGGTAAAATCTATGCGGCGGCACTGCGGGATGGGGTTTCAATCTTGCCCGAACCTTCAAATGAGTTACTGAAGAATTCTCTGAGTCAGGGGATAGTACCCCTCTCTTGTAAGGTGGGCCACGTAACGACGATCCTCAAAGTGGGTCAGCGAAGCAATCCAAAAATGCATACCTGATGACACTTCTGTCCATTCCACCCAAAGTGACAGAATCGTTAATATATGAAGGACCACGAGACTACCTCACAAGATCAACTTCTTTGCTCCCCAACAATATGCATTTCGAAAAGAGTACTCCTGCG